AGAGAGAGAGAGAGAGAGAGAGAGAGAGGGAACAAAGAAACAGAGAGAGAGAGAGAGAGAGAGAGAGAGAGAGGTCGGCATGCCCTGCATTGTCCAACTCGCGTGCGACGTGCACCACAACTCATGCATCCGTGCGATCGCCGCTGTGGCTCGAGCCTGCGCGTATCGCTAGGCATCGGGGCGCCTGGTCTACGTCGCCAGCGCGCGATGCAAGGGGGCGCCGCGACGGACTCCTTGACAATGCTTGTCTCGCATGATGCCGCGCCTCTGTGGGCGCAAGGTGTTTCTCCACATGGGTGATGCAGTGGATGCTGTTCATGGTTTCTCTTTATGGCGAGTCGGTTCGCCCATGTGCATGCGTGCAGCGCAACGAGCGAGGTGGGCGTCGCGCCAGCGCAGCTCGCCAATGCACCGTTAGACTCAACTTTGCGAGAACTGACGTCTGATCCTTTTTTCAGAATATCGCGGTTCGCGATTTAATGGGCTCCAGTGCGTTTAGCATTCCTTTCAACTCTGCGCGGGCGCGCGGTCATCTCGACGCTTCTGCGCGATTGCAAGTGCACCTGGCTGGTGTTGTGGTGCTCCGATCCGACGGTGCTCTCAATGCTTTCGAGTTGACGGGCGTCTTGGCATCTGCCCCAACAAAGGGGCCGCGTCAATCTGGATTCCGATTGCGAAACCGTTTGGAACGAAGTGCTGCGAGGCAGCGGTCACGAGGATGCGGTAGCGAGAGAAATATATGTGACGCCCTGTATACCTCTGGTGAGTGAGATCTGGTTGCAAGGACATCCAGGTCAGCGGTGCAATATCCGTGACGTCGTTTATTTGATGCTCGAAGATAGCCAGCCACCAGTCCTACGAGCTAATCCGATGCTCCGTCATCTTATTACCAAAGCCACGTCCGCTTACGGAAGAAACAGTTCCTTGTGAAGTGTTGATTCGGCCAGTCGCCTTTCGCAGACCTCTTGCCATGTTGCGGCAATTCCGATCAATGCCCACCGACGTGGCATACTCTTGCGACCGCGTGCATAAACGCATGACGAAGCAGACCTCATAAGCTTTATTTTCTCGTAGGTGCAGCGCACGTAGCAACGGCAAACGCATCGGACGATGCGCGTTACTGACCAACGGTCGTATCTAGAACCCTGTTAGCAGCATGGAAAAAATCCAAGTATCATCTCCTCATCCATAATGTGCATTGCCACCCTAAGTGTCCAGTACACCGTTGTATGTTCATATATGCCAGGACGGTGGCGCGTCTCAGCGGCAATGTTTCAGCACCTTCATTGTGTACATTGGTACGAACTGTCATTATCCACAACCTATGTTGGACTGCGCTCGGTTTGATCATGCTTTCGGCCCAGGCGATTGAAGGTGTCAACGTGACAGCAAACGAAGCCTTTTCGTAGCCTTAGTCTGCCTCTTGGAGAGCGCCGCTCCGGACTCTCTGCGCGCTGACATTTAACAGCTGTTGAAGACAAGGTCCGAACAGACGTCGGGCAATTCCATTAGATTCGATGCATTCTCGCCGTTGTTGCGGCCATCGCGACGATGTTCACGCTTCGCGCGATCGCTTCTCAGATCGCTGACCATGGTGAACTTTTCGAGAGGTCGGTGTTTGTGCGACTTTCCAAAGCAACCAGCTCCACTTCAGTTGCAGCTGCGCAGGTTCTGGCCGCGCCGTTGGGGAAGATGGCGCAGACGTTGGCGCCAAACGTTTTCGCCGGCATGAGCGCGCATCAGATATCGAGAGAGATGTCTGCAGTTGTGCCCACAAATGAAATCGACGATGACTGTCGAGTTACTTTTGTAGTAGTTTCGCGCGTGCATGCCTGGCTCGTACATCGCCAGATGGCTGCGGCTTTGACCGGGCATCCAGGAACGATTGTGATGGCCGCGTGCGCGATTTGCTACGCATCCTGCGAACCATTCTTCTGGGTACCAACACTTGTGATGCACCGACTTCCTTGCAAGTATGGGATTCAAATTCAAAGGACATTGTCGAGGGCCTCTGGAGCCTGATGATATGCTCGATATCTCCATTGCGATACCCAACTTGTGCCAGAGCTGGATGGAACTCCACCCGAAGTGGAAGTGCACGATTCTCCACCTGATATTGATTTTGAACAGCATAGCTACTTCAATGTCATGATTCCGAAGAGATGAGGCTTGACAGCAGAGTTCGTCCTTCCTTGTCTTGTGATACGCAGCGCGGTATTCGCCAGACCGAAACTCGCCGATCGCGAACGGGAGCCATTGCTTCTTTATCTTTACCTTAGGCGTCGTAGGTGCGCGCGGCACTCCAGCGTGCACAGCCCATGGACGACGTAAATCAAGTAAGGAAGGTTTACGGAAGTGCGTCGACTCTGTTATCTCTCGAGAGGGAGGACGTGCGATTGTGAGCGATACATTTAGATGCAGGCGAACGCATCTTTTCAGAGCGATCTCGGATGACTTCCAAGATGGCCGAAGAAGGCGAAATTGTTGAATGACATATCTTTTTATTTTATAGTAAAAACATGTTGGCTTAAACCACATCGTTTCGCTCGAGGCATCCCCTCGAACTCGTCTTCTTACGTTGGCGCTGGCGTCGGAGCTGGCCTTTGTGTCAGCGTAAGCCGTTCAGAAAAGTCATGCATGAACCTGTCGTGTGCGCCTGCGTTGGCTTCGGAGCTGGCCTTGGTGTCAGCGTAAGCCGTTCAGAAAAGTTTCATGCATGTAGATTTCGTGTGCAATCGCGTTGGCGTCGAAGCTGGCCTTGGGGTCAGCGTGAGCCGTTCAGACAAGTTTCTTTCGTGTGCGCTTGCGTTGGCGTCGGAGCTGGCCTTGCTGTCAGCGTAAGCCGTTCAGAAAAGGTCCATTTATGAAACTTTCGCGTGCGTTTGCGTTGGCGTCGGAGCTGGCCTTGGTGTCAGCGTGCGCCGTTCATAAAAGTTTTATGCATGAACCTTTCGTGTGCGCTTGCGTTGGCTTCGGAGCTGGCCTTGGTGTCAGCTTCAGCCTTCCAGAATAGTTTCATGCATGATACTGTCGTGTGCGTTTGCGTTGGCGTCGGGGGTGCCCTTGGTGTAAGCGTCAGACGTTCAGAGAAGTTTCATGCATGAAACTTTCGTGTGCGCTGGCGTTGGCGTTGGAGCTGGCCTGGGTGTCAGCGTAAGCCTCTTGGAAGTTCGTTGGGGTATTGTGCAAAGCTTTTCGGGGGCCTTTTGGGATCAGTCTTGAAGCCTGCAGGCCGGTTTGGAGCCTCTTTTGGGCCTCTTGGGGGCCTCCATTGAGCCTCTTGGAGCCTCCTGGGGGCCTCCTGGGGGCTTCTTGGGGCGGAAGGCTCGAATTGTCGGTTCGTGCTCCCACTCTTGGGCCCCTCTTGGGGCTGTCTTGAAGCCCTCTTGTGCTGTGTTGGGCGCCTCCTTGGCCGTGTGGGGGTGGGGGCCCTCTTGGGCCATCTTGGGAGCCTCTTGGGGGCCTCTGGGCCCTCTTGGAGCGAGGTTGGAGGCTTCTTGGGTAGCCTTGGAGAAGTGTCGGACTCTTGAAAACGGGAGAACGCGAATAACATTGAAACGCGCACTGAAAACAAAATCATTGTGGCCTCCTGGGGCCGTTTGGGAGGTCCTTTCGGAGCGCTGCTGGGGCCTCTTGGGGGCCTCTTGGGCCATCACGGGGCCATCTTGGGCGGTTTGGTGCGCTCTTGGGCCGTCTTGGCGCCCTGGGGGCGTCCGCTGCGGGCGCCGAGGCGGGCCCCGGAGGCGCAGGGAACGCCCTGGAGCGTTTGGGGGCCTCTTGGGGGCCTCAGAGGGTCCTGTTGGAGCGGGGGGCTCGCAATTCCAACTGGGTTTCCCCGGCTCGGGCTCCTCTTGGAGCCATTTGGGAGGCCGTTCGGGCCATCTCCGCTGCCTCTGGGACTGTCTCGGGACCCTCTTGGGCCGTCTTGGCGCCCGGTGGGGGGTCTCTTGGGCCGTGTTGGGGCGATCGTACGGGCCCCCGAGGCTGTCAAGCACGGAGCGAAAACAAAAAACATTCATGCGGTTAACATGCACGTTTTACGCAGGGAGCGGGGCCATTTTTGCCTCTCGGAGCCCTCGGGGGGGTCAAATTGAACGGGTTATGAGACATCTTGGAGGCCTCGTATTGGCTGCTTCGGGGCCTCTTGGGGGTCTCGGGAGTCCTCTTGGGGCGTGGGGCTGGCAATTGCAATTGGATTGCCCCATTTTGGGCTCCTCTAGGAGCCCTCTAGGAGGCCGTTGGGGCCGTCTTGAGTGCCTCTGGGACCAGCCTGGGACCCTCTTGGGCCGTCTTGGCGCCCTCTGGGGGGCCTCTTGGGCCGTGTACGGGCGATCGTAGGGGCCCCTGAGGCCGTCAAGGATGGTGCGAAGACGAAAAATACGAATACTGTAAAAAACTATGTTTTACGAAGGGAATGTGGCTATGTTTGCCCTTCGGGGCCCTCGTGGGGGGCAAATTGCACGGGTGAAAAGGCGTCTTCGAAGCCTCTGGGGCCACTGGAGACGTCCCGTGATCCGTCGAAGTCGTCTTCAGGGTGGTGGGCGGCTGGCTGGGGCCGCCGTGACGCTCATCGGACCGCCCTCCGAGGCGAGTTTGGGCCCCCCAAGGTCCGGTTTTTTTTTTGCAATCTTTTTTTTGTTGCAATCCTGGGTTGTTTTTGCAATCCTGGGTTTTTTTGCAATCCTGTTTTTTTTTGCAATCCGTTTTTTTTGCAATCCTGGGTTTTTTTTTGCAATCCTTTTTTGTGCAATCCTTTTTTTTGCAATCCTTCGCCCATGGGCCACACGTTTGTGGCAGAGGCCGCGGCCCCGGGGCCCCCAGGCCCGGTCCCCCGTTGTATGTGTACGAGAGCGCCTCCAGAGCAGTCACGGCCCTGTTCCCTCCCGAAAACGTACACGTTTCCGATATGCACATATTCGGAGGTACGATACGATGGATTGCAAAAAAAAACCATCCTGGGTTTTTTTGCAATCCTGTTTTTTTTTTTTGCAATCCTTCGGGTTTTTTTGCAATCGATTGCTTTCGCAGGTATCTCTGCTACATTCCCACCGCGTCAGAAGTCTGCATGGTATCGGGGCGTCCTCGCACACACGTAGCACCTCTGTGCTGGCGATGCTGTCCCGGATTGGTTGCGATTTCGGTCCCTCGGTGCGCCAGGGACGGTCGGAGTTGTCTGCCCTCCCTGTCTCCGTGACGCTGCAACCGCCATCTGCGTTTGACCCCAGAGGCTGTTCTCGTGCCCTGGGAGGCGCGATACATGAATGCTCTCCCATCCGTCTCTGTCATGCCTCCATCGCGCCAGGAAATTGCATGGCCTCTGAAGCGTCCTCGCTTTCATGTGGTATACTTTTTGTGGTGGCGATGCTGGCCCAGATTGGTTGCAGTTTTGGTCCTTCGTTGCATCAGGAGCGGCCGGAGTTGTCCGCCCTCTGTGTCGCCACCATCTGCCACCATCTGCGTGTGCCCCCCAAGGTTGTTCTTGTGCCCTGGGGTGCGCGATACACGAATGCTCCTCAATGCGTCTCTGCCATGTCTCCATGGCGCCAGACACTTGCATGGCTCGCTTTCATATTGTATATCCGTAAGGGCTTCGCCCCATGCCGCCGGCCCCTTTCCTCGGATAATGGGAGATGCGAAAACTAAATCATGAGGTCTGGGCGCCGCCGTGAAGCAGTGTCGGGACCTGTTTGTTTTTCGACCCTGACCCTACGGATCTGCGTGAGGGGTGCCACCGAATTTCAGAAATGTGGCAAATCCCTTGGGTTTTTGGACCCTGACCCCGCCGATTTGCGTGAGGGGTGCCATCGAATTTCAGAAATGTGGCAAATCCCATGTGTTTTTGGACTCTGACCCCGCCGATCTGCGTGAGTGTGCCATCGAATTTCAGAAATGTGGCAAATCCCATGTGTTTTTGGACCCTGACCCCGCCGATCTGCGTGAGGGGTGCCACCGAATTTCAGAAATGTGGCAAATCCCCTTTGTGTTTGCACCCTGACCCCGCCGATCTGCGTGAGGGGTGCAACCGAATTTCAGAAATGTGGCAAATCCAATGTATTTTTCGACCCTGACCCCGCCGATCTGCGTGAGGGGTGCCACCGAATTCTAGAAATGTAGCAAATCCCATAAGTTTTTGGACCCTGACCCCGCCGATCTGCGTGAGGGGTGCCATCGAATTTCAGAAATGTGGCAAATCATGCTCAGGGATCGCTCGCCTAATGTTCGGATCCTCGAACATGGGCGTTTTACCAGAGACATCCTCGAAAAAAGGGGATGCCGACAGAGCTCCTGTAAGGCATCTTTTCGGAGCGATCTCGGATGACCTCCAAGATGGCCCACGAAGCGAAAGTATAGAAACACCCATGTGTTTTTAACACTTCTGTTGAAACATCAGCGTTTCGCTCGAGACATCCTCCAACATTTGCCTTCGGACGGGTCCTCGAAGGCGAAATTGTTGAAAAACTACAGGTTTTCAACAGTTTTTTACCTAACAGCGAAGACTGATAGGTTTCTAGTGGGGTCAAAAGAGAGCAGCAGATGACTCCACAGGGGGGTCCGGGCGGCATCCGGGGAGCTGGGTCCGAACTCGTTTTTCGCAAACAGTCACACACTTCGTGCTCTTCGACCTCCCAGAACTCCATTCCCGGGCCACATTCTGAATGCCCGGAGCCAACTGTAGGCCACTTCGTGCTCTTCGACTTTTCAGAACTACATTCCAGGGCCACATTTTGAATGCCCGGAGCCAACTGTAGGCCACTTCGTGCTCTTCGACTTCCCAGAACAGCATTCCCGGGCCACATTTTGGATGCCCGGAGCCAACTGTAGGCCACTTCGTGCTCTTGGACTTCCCAGAAAAGCATTCCCGGGCCACATTTTGAATGCCCGGAGCCAACTGTAGGCCACTTCGTGCTCTTCCACTTCCCAGAACTCCACTTCCGGGCCACATTTTGAATGCCCGGAGCCAACCGTAGGCCACTTCGTGCTCTTCCACTTCCCAGACTTCCAAGACTCATCATCTTCATCATCACTATTATCGGTGCCACACACTACAACTACTACTTCACTGTTACCACTACTACTACCATCACTACTACTTCTATTGCTACTACTACTGTTACTATTACTGCTGCTGCTGCTGTTGCTGCTGCTAGTGTAGCTATTGCTACTGCAACTACTGGCAGTGCCACTGCGACTGCCGCTGATGTTGCCACTGCGACTGCCACTGCGAATCCGAATGCGACTGCGAGAGCACCAGAATTCTACAACAGCACTCTTACATGAATACCACAGGCAATGTTTCCAGCTATGCTTCTACACATCGCTGTTAGGTTGCTTTGCCGGGATAATTCTAAACACAGAGCGTTTCGCTCGAGACATCCTCCAGCAATTACCTTCTCCTCCTCCTCCTCCTCCTCCTCCTGTTCTTCCTCCTCCTCCTCCTCCTCCTCCTGTTCTTCCTCCTCCTCCTCCTCCTCGTCCTCTTCCTCCTCCTGCTCCTCCTCCTCCCACGCAAGAGGAAGATGGCACATTCCGCTAGGGAAGGCTGGATTGGACATCTCCCGGTCCTCCTGAGGTTCCCCGGGCTATGCAACATCCGATAACGAAGGTCGGATGACATGCCCTGTGGGCTCCCTGGGGCCTGACGGCGACCCCATCCACTTTAAGAGTTGACCATCTGATGCTGCTGCTGCTGCTGCTGCTCCTCCTCCTCCTCCTCCTCCGCCTCCTCCTCCTCCCCCCTCCTCCCCTGGTAGTCGTCTGCGTCGTCGTCCTCCTCGCGCGGAGGAGTGGGGAGGATACTCAGGAATATGCTTGTGAACGTTCGGGGGGCGCGTGTCCACACGTGTCCCCTGTGAGCGTTCGGGGAGCTCGCCCATATTACATTTGATCGCGATGATGCTGCAAGTTCTTGCGCAACTCTTCCTTTTCACGCGCTTCCCGTTCATGTCAAGAAAGGTTCCTAAACTGACCGTTTCGCCCGAGACAGCCTCACAAAATCGTGAAGTCGGGGGTCGTATCTTAAGATGTCTTTTGCTAAACATGGGCGTTTCGCCCGAGACATCCTCCAAACATGGAGATCTTGCAATCGCTCGCCTAATGTTCGGATCCTCGAAAATGGGCGTTTCGCCAGAGACATTCTCGAAAATTTAGGATGCCGACAGAGCTCTTGTAAGGCATCTTTTCGGAGCGATCTCAGATGATCTCCAAGATGGCCCGAGAAGCGAAAATATAGAAACACCCACGTGTGTTTAAAACTTTCGTTGACAAGTCATCGTTTCGCTCGGGATATCCTCCAACAATTGCCTTCGGACAGGTCCCCGAAGGCGAAATTATTGAAAAACCTATGGGTTTCCAACAGTTTTGATTAAAACAGAGCATTTCGCCCGAGATATCCTCCAACAAGTTTTGAACCCGCGCGGAAAGTGAACTCCACCTGATACCTTTTGTGGGCGTTCGGGGTAAGAGCGACGTCTAAACTCGCGCGGATAGTGAACTCTACTTGGTATCTTTTGTGGACGTTCGCGGTGAGCGGTGATTGAAGTTGCGCGGATTGTGTATTCGATTTGGTGTCTTTTGTGGACGTTCGGAGTGAGCGGCACGTCGGAATTTGCGCGGGTCGTGAACTCAATCTGGTTCTTTTTGCGGACGTTCGGGGTCAGCGGCACGTCTGAACTGGCGCGGATAGCGAAGTCCACCTGGTACCCCCTGTGGACGTTCGGGAAGAGCGCCTACGCGACATGCGAACTCGATGTTGGTGCACGTTCTTGCCAATATCTTTGACATCACGCGCTTCCCTGTCAAGAAAGGTTCCCCAGGACAGCGATTTCGCTCGATACAACCTCCGAACATGGAGATGTTGGAGGCTATCGTTTAAGACTTGGTCTATGAAAATTGAAGTTTTCCTTCGAGACATCCTCAGAACATCGGGATGTTGAAAATTCTCAAGGGTTTTCTTGTGTATGGAAAATGAGCGCTTCGCCCGATACATCCTTGAACACATGATATGGTGGGAAAACTGCGTTACTACCTCTCATAAGAAAAAATGCGCTTTCGCTCGGGACATCCCCAGAACATCGGGAGGGGCGCGGCAGACCGAAAAAAGAGCACGACAGAAACTTAACAATTCGCTGGGGACATCCCTTGAAATGGCCGAACATGACGATTCCGCTGGGGACATCCTCAAACAATGACCACATGCAACACCATCGTTTTGACAACTGCTGTTCTAACATCGCCTTGAAATCGCTCCTGAAAAGGCTTCCCGATGGTCTAAACCAGCCTTCTAAACAGAACGATTTCGCGAAAGACATCATCAAACAATTAAGGTGTCGAACATCGCTCTGTTCTGATTTAGGAGGGCATCAAGACGGCCCCAAAGGCCCCCAACTACGCCCCAAAATGACCCCCAGGATCGCCCTCGAGACGACCCCAAAATGTAAGTTCGCCTGGGATATCCTCACACCATTGATCTGTTCGTAACATCGATGCTATCAATCATGAGCGTTAGCTCTTAGGGTTTATTCTGCCGTGTTCCTGGTCTTTTTCTGTCTTGCTCCTTGGCTCTTGGGGCCTCTTCTGCCGTGCTCTTTAGCTCTTGGGGTCTATTCTGCCGTGCTCCTGGTTTTCTTCTGTCGTGCTCCTTCGCTCATGGGGCCTATTCTGCCATGTTCCTGTTTTTTGCCGTGCCCTTTCGCTCTTCGGGCCTATTCTGCCGTGCTCCCTGTTTTTTTCTGCCGTGCTCCTGAGCTCTGGGGGTCTATCCTGCCGTGCTCCTGGTCTTTTTCTGTCGTGCTCCTTCGCTCTTGGGGTCTATTCTGCCGTGCTCCTTCACTCTTCGGGTCTATTCTGCCGTGCTCCAGTTTTTTTTTCTGTCGTACTCTTTGACCCTTCGGGGGTCTATTCTGCCGTGCTCCTGGTCTGTTTCTGCCGTGTTCCTGAGCTCTTGGGGTCTATTCTGCCGTGCTCATGCTCTTGTTCTGATGTTTGTGTTCGCTCTAGGGGCCTATTCTGCCGTGCTTTTTAGCTCTTGCGGTTTATTCTGCCGTGCTCCTGATCTTTTCCTGCCATGCTCCTTAGCTCTTGGGGTCTATTCTGCCGTGCTCCTGGTCTTGTTTTGCCGTGCTCGGCAGCTCTTGGGGCCTATTCTGCCGTGCTCCTGGTCTTTTTCTGCCGTGCTCCTTACCTCTTGGGGCCTACTCTGCCGTGCTCTTGGTCTTTTTCTGCCGTGCTCCTTCGCTTTGGGGTCTATTCTGCCGTGCTCCTTAGCTCTTGGGGTATGTATTGCCGTGCTCCTGGTTTTGTTTCTACCGTACTCCGTCGCTCTTCGGGTCTATTCTGCCGTGCGCCTGGTATGTTTCTGCCGTGCTCTTTAGCTCTTGGGGTTTAATCTGCCGTCTCCTGGTCTTTTTTCTGCCTTGCTCCTTGGCTCTTGGGGCCTATTTTGCCGTGCTCCTTAGCTCTTGGGGTCTATTCTGCCGTGTTCCTGGTCTTTTTCTGACTTGCTCCTTCGTTCTTGGGGCCTCTTCTGCCGTGCTCTTTAGCTCTTGGGGTCTATTCTGCCGTGCTCCTGTTTTGTTCTGCCTTGCTCCTTTGCGCAATGATCGAGGAATCGTTGGCAAGAGTACGATGTTTAAAAAGCTGTTTCGAGCGACTCAGATGACGACGTCGTCGTCATCGTCGTCTGGCATTGGCTGACGCGCGGCAGCTTTTTGATCACTTGCGTTAGTTGTCCATGTTGCCGCCGTCGGTTCGCGTCAGGCCGTACAGTCGGGGCCCTGAAGAAGGAACCCTTTTCCTTGGGGGGGGGCTCCGTGTTCCTTGATAGTTTCGCAGCTTGCCTTAGGTTTTCCTTAGGTTTCCGATGCGAAAACGAAGTTTATAGCTTATGGAAAATAGGGGCCTCGTGCCTTATTCAGGGTTCCTTAGGTCAAGGCCCCGACTGTACCAGAAAGTATCCTCCTCCTCCTCCTCCTCCTCCTCCTGCTCCTGCTCCTCCTCCTCCTGCTGCTGCTCCTCCTCCTCCTCCTCCTCCTCCCCCTCCTCCTCCTCCTCCTCCTCCTCCTCCTCCTCCTCCTTCTCCACCTTCCGCGTTTCCGTTTGGTGATCTCGCTCGGCGGCAGAAGCGCCGGCGCCCGCGGGTGGGCGGCCTGCTGCAAGAGCGGCCGCTCTTCTGGCGGGGAGCTCGCCGCGAGGCAGGCGCAGCCGCGATGGTGAGGAGGAGGAGGAGGAGGAGGAGGAGGAGGAGGAGGAGGAGGAGGAGGAGGAGGAGGAGGAGAGGAGGAGGAGGGAGGAGGGGGAGGAGGAGGAGAAGGAGGAAGAGGAGGAGGAGGAGGAGATGGAGGAGGGGGAGGAGGGGGCAGGAGGGGGGGGGGGAGGGGAGATGACGAAGACGACGACGAACGACTCAGACGACTCGGACGATGACGACACGCCTGCGCACTCTCGCGCGTGCGGTCGTTCCAGGCGCTTCAGCGCGGCGATCTCGCTCGGAGGCAGAAGCGTGGCGGCGGCGACGGCCTGCTGCAAGCGCAGCTTCTTTTCTGCCGGGCTGCTCTCCTGGAGGCAGGCGCGGCCGCTCTTGCAGTGGCTGACGCGCGGCAGCCTTCTGATCACTCGCGATCGTGGTCTTGGGGGTTCTCGTTTAAGATTTTGATGCCAACAACGACGATTTCGCCTGAGACAATCTCCAGAAAAATGGAGGTCTTGAAATCGCTCGCCTAATTCTCGGATCCTCGAAAATGGGCGTTTCGCCTGAGACATCCTCGGATAATGAGATACCGAAAGAGCTTTTGTAAGGCATCTTTTCGGAGCGATCTCGGATGACCTTCAAGATGGCCCAAGAAGCGAAATTATTGAAACAACCATAGGTTTTTAACAGGTTTGTGTCAGCGTTCGAAGAGATTGCCTATATTACATTTGATCGCGATGATGCTGCATGTTCTTGCGCAACTCTTCCCTTTCACGCGCTTGCCGTTCATGTCAGGAAAGGTTTTCATGTATGCTCCATTCTTCGTAGACCGTTGCCGCTGCAATTGGGCTGGGCGGGGGCCGCGCCCAGATGCCCCGGCTCAGCGGGAGTTGTTCCTCAAATATAGGGCGTATCGCTGGATCCAGCCAATGTGCATAGTTAACTTTCGGGGGCGGAAAAGAGGGGGGTGATGACTAGGGGGGGTAGATATCATGGCGTCGGCCATGATATTTCCCCAGATTTCATGGCGCCTCTTCTTATTTCATTACGTTCCTGGCCCCCCCGCTGGGCCGCGCACATGCCGCCGGTCATGATTTGCACCCCCCCCTCTTGGACACCCCCCTCTTGGCCGCTCCCGAAACTTGGAGCAACGCTGACACAGACAGACGCCATACGCCAGTACGACGCGTCGGCAGACGGATTCCTCTGAATCCGACAAGACGAGACGGAACTTTGCCAGCTGTCTCGCATGGAAGCGAATGCGTTGGGGGGTTGTCGGAGGGGGAGGAGGACGGGGAGGAGCACGAGGAACAAGTGATATTTGCATGAGTTCCACTACACTCGGCATGAGGCCGGCCAACACCGACTACAAAAGATGAAACGCTGATTTGTCGAACCGGGTGGCAGGAACATTGACGACATGAGGCGCCAATGGGTTTTTTAACCTAACAGCGAAGACTGATAGGTTTCTAGTAGGGTCAAAAGAGAGCATCATGACTCCCCAGGAGGGTCTGGGCGGGATCCGGGCGGGTGCCGCGGAAAACCGGGGACTCATTTTTTAGCCAACAGTAACACACTTCGTGGTCTTCGAGTTCCCAGAACTCCATTCCTGGGCATGATTTTGAATGCCCAGAGCCAACTATAGGCCACTTCGTGGTCTTCGAATTCCCAGAACTCCATTCCTGGGCATGATTTTGAATGCCTGGAGCCAACTGTAGGCCACTTCGTGGTCTTCGAGTTCCCAGAACTCCATTCCTGGGAATGATTTTGAATGCCCGGAGCCAATTGTAGGCCACTTCGTGGTCTTCGAGTTCCCAGAACTCCATTCCTGGGAATGATTTTGAATGCCCGGAGCCAACTGTAGGCCTCTTCGTGTTCTTCGAGTTCCCAGAACTCCATTCCCAGGCCACATCTTGAATGCTGAGGCAGGCTGAGGCTGAGGCTGAGGCAGGCTGAGGCTGAGGCAGGTTGAGGCTGAGGCCGAGGCTGAAGGCAGACTGAGGCTGAGGCTGAAGCAGGCTGAGGCTGAGGCTGAGGCAGGCTGAGGCTGAGGCTGAGGGCTGATGCTGAGGCAGGCTGAGGCTGAGGCTGAGGCTGATGCAGGCTGAGGCTGAGGCAGGCTGAGGCTGAGGCCGAGGCTGAAGGCAGACTGAGGCTGAGGCTGAAGCAGGCTGAGGCTGAGGCAGAGGCAGGCTGAGGCTGAGGCTGAGGCAGGCTGATGCTGAGGCAGGCTGAGGCTGAGGCTGAGGCTGATGCAGGCTGAGGCTGAGGCAGGCTGAGGCTGAGGCCGAGGCTGAAGGCAGACTGAGGCTGAGGCTGAAGCAGGCTGAGGCTGAGGCTGAGGCAGGCTGAGGCTGAGGCTGAGGCCCAGGCTGAGGCAGGCTGAGGCTGAGGCTGAGGCTGAGGCTGAGGCTGAGGCAGGCTGAGGCTGAGGCAGGCTGAGGCTGGCTGAAGGCAGATTGAGGCTGAGGCTGAAGCAAGCTGAGGCTGAGGCTGAGGCAGGCTGAGGCTGAGGCAGGCTGATGCTGAGGCAGGCTGAGGCTGAGGCTGAGGCTGATGCAGGCTGAGGCTGAGGCAGGCTGAGGCTGCGGCCGAGGCTGAAGGCAGACTGAGGCTGAGGCTGAAGCAGCTGAGGCTGAGGCTGAGGCAGGCTGAGGCTGAGGCTGAGGCTGAGGCTGAGGCTGAGGCAGGCTGAGGCTGAGGCTGATGCAGGCTGAGGCTGAGGGCTGAGGCTGAGGCCGAGGCTGAGGCAGACTGAGGCTGAGGCTGAAGCAGGCTGAGGCTGAGGCAGAGGCAGGCTGAGGCTGAGGCTGAGGCAGGCTGATGCTGAGGCAGGCTGAGGCTGAGGCTGAGGCTGATGCAGGCTGAGGCTGAGGCAGGCTGAGGCTGAGGCCGAGGCTGAAGGCAGACTGAGGCTGAGGCTGAAGCAGGCTGAGGCTGAGGCTGAGGCAGGCTGAGGCTGAGGCAGGCTGAGGCTGAGGCTGAGGCTGATGCAGGCTGAGGCTGAGGCAGGCTGAGGCTGAGGCCGAGGCTGAAGGCAGACTGAGGCTGAGGCTGAAGCAGGCTGAGGCTGAGGCTGAGGCAGGCTGAGGCTGAGGCTGAGGCAGGCTGATGCTGAGGCAGGCTGAGGCTGAGGCTGTGACTGCGACTGCCGTTGCCACTGCGACTGTCATCGCGAATGCGACTGCGACTGCGAGAACAGCAGAATTCTACAACTGGATTATCATTTGAATCTGAAGGGGAATGCTTCCAGATATGCTCCTACACATCGCTGTTAGGTTGCTTTGCTGGGACATTCATCAACCGCTCTCACCGATATGATTCACGGACTTGCAGCGACTTCAAAACGTTTGGCTAGGATAAGCAAGGAAACCGAATTGTCTGATCCCATTCTCGCATGTGCGATCTTGAACAACAATACCGTTTCTACATTTTCTCTGATCACGCAATGCGCTGAAGAAGTATGCCCGCCAAATCCACGAAGCTGGACTACAGAACCCTGCGTACTCTTCACGTGCGTGCCAACCTGTAAATGCCCTTTGACATCCAACATGGTAAGCGCACCCGTTTGTCCGACATTTACATTCTCTTGAACTATGTACACATACATGTATGTATGTGTGTATATATATATATATGTGTAGGTATGTATTTGTGCACATATATATATATATACACACCGGGCTACAGGGATCGGGGCCTTCGGCCAGCTGCCTCCACTCCCCAAGGGCGCGCCGGGCCTCCAGGCGTCCTCTGCGGAGGCCCCTGGCCAGCTGCCTCGACTCCCCATGGGCGCGCTGGGCCTCCCGGAGAGTTCCCGGAGGCCTCCAAGACGCCGTCGGGGACGGCCTGTCGGGCCCTAAAGATGGCCCAGAAAGCCTCAAGAGGCCCCGAAGACGTCCAAGATGGCCCCATGACAGCCCAAAAACCCTCAAGACGCCCCAAGAGGCCCCAAAGAAGCTTCAGAACAGGTCCTCGAGAGGCCAACATCGTTGCTTTTCCATTGTGTGTTCTAGTTTTTCCCCGCCGCCTTTCCAACGCTCCAAGACGGTCCAAGAGGCCCTCAAGAGCGCCCCAAGACAGCTCAGGAGGCGCCCAAGACAGCCCCAAGACGGCTCTGGACGAATCCAAGACAGCTTTTGAACCGCCCAAGAGGGTTCCGCGAAGGCCCTAAGAGGAGCCCAAGAGGGCGACCAGAAACTCAAACATTTCGTCTCCCGTCCCGTCCAGAGAGGGCCCCAGGAGGCCGAAAGAGAGCCTCCAAGAGGCCCCAAGAGGCCTCCAAGAGGCCCCCAGGAGGCCCCAAAGGCCGCAAAAGGACCCCCAAGAGGCCCCAAACCGGCTTCCCAAGAGGCCTCAAACTTGCCGCCGCCCAGAAGCCCCGAGAGACGCACCACGAGATGCGAATGAACACTCAAGAGGCTTCTGAGCCACAACCCAGGCACGGCGGCGGGATGGGCCGAAGGCCCCAGGAGGAGGGAGGAGGAGGAGGAGGAGGAGGAGAGGAGGGGGGGGGAGCAGGAGGAGCAGGGCAGGAGCAGCAGAGCAGGAGCAGGAGGTGTGGGGGAGGACGGGACTCCAGGATTCCGGGATGGCCGCGCGCGCGCCCCCGCGCAGGAGCACGAGGTCCAGAGCAGGAGCAGGAGGAGCAGGAGCAGGACCAGGAGCAGGAGGAGGAGCAGGAGGAGGAGGAGGAGAGGAGGAGGAGGCGGAGGAGGAGGAGGAGGAGGAGGGGAACGGCCGGGTCGTGCACCCGCTGTTGGGCCCCCCCCCCCCCTCCCAGGAGTGGCAGGTGCTGCACGACCTGGTCCGCCTCCAGGCAGGAGCCAAGCTGAGCTCCTCCACCTCCACCGTCTGCGCTGGGTCCGCGCCCTTCTCCCTCTCACCAGGCTGGGCTCTCTCGAGGCCGTCGGCTACTGCTGCTGCTGAGTCTCCTCCTCTTAGTCATCCCTTTCATTATCCTCCTCTTCCTCATCCTCTTCCTCCTTCTCTTGCTCCTCTTCCTCCTCCTCCTCTTCCTCCTCTTCCTCCTCGTCCTCCCTCTCAACGCTGTGTTCTCCTCTTCGTCCCCCTCTTCCATCCGAACCCTGGGTCCTCCTCCTCAACCCTCTCAGCGTTGGGCCCTCCTTGTGCTGCTCCTGCTTCTCCTCCTGCTGCTGCTGCTGCTCCTTCTCCTCCTGTCGCTCAACGCTGGGTCGTCGTTGCCATCGTCATCGTCCTCCTCCTTCCCCCCCGTCCCCCTGCTCCTCATTCTGCTCCTGCTGCTGCTGATTCTCGTCCTCCTCTTCATCCTCTCTTCGGCTGCATGCTTGGCTGTGTAGTGGCCCGGGACTGCCTGTCGCACTACGGGAGATGGTGCCGTGGCTTCATTTTCGGCCTCGCGCATGTGCTCCGTGCGCCGTTCGAGCGCAATCCCACAATCATGCGTGGATTGCGCGCCTTGGAGCCCTCACACTGAAAGTGTGTCGTAACACAGGTAGATATCCACCGACTGCTCCACTGCGAGCGGAGGCGCCGTGGCCCGGCTCCTCCGAAGCCCTTGCGATCTCCGCTGGCGCGCTCCATGCAGCCGAGAGCGCCGGTCAAGCGATAAAGTCACCTGCATTCCGACGCTGTGCCTCATCAGCTGTTCCTCATCGTCCCGTTGCTTCTCCTCATCTCCCCTCGAGCACTGCTCAGCGGAGAAGTCCAAGCAACACAATTACACCTCCGTTTCATCCTCTCCTCCTTTTCGTCCTCATCCTCCTCCTCTTCGCTGGGCTCTCCCCCTTTCCTCGTCTAGGCGAGGGCGCACCTGGAGACGCTGATGCAGCAGCTGGCGGGGCGGGACATGTCGTCCAAGGACGTGGTGCCCAGCAGGGTCCAGGACCCGGGTCAGGGGCCGAGTCCTCCACCTGCGATTTCGTCAATTTCATGTTTTAGTCTTGTTTGTTCGTGCAGGACATTTGATGGGTGATGTGTCTGTTGCCTCTGGCAAAAAGGAAGCCCCACCTTTCGGCCCCCTCCAACTCCTCCCCCTGCCCGGCCTGCCCCCGCATTCCTGTAGTTCCACCTTCGCCTCCCCCGAGCTCTGCCAAGCCTTGCTCGTCCTTGCTAAGCCCTTGTGGGATCAGCTAAATTTCGCCAAGCATTAATACATATTGCTAGGCACTGCTAAGCCCCCTAAGGTCCTGGTAGGCACTGCTAAGCTTTGGTAAGCATGGATAAGGCTTGCTGAGCCCTGCGAAGCTCTCCTTAGCCCGGATCAGCCCTGCCACGCCCTGGTAAT